TTTCTCTCTCTCACACCATATATAAATTAAAATATTTCAAACGCCTCCTGTCGATAAAATTCTTTTTAAGAGGTCAATGTGCAAATCAATTCCAACCCATGTAAACATCTTCTCATAACTGACAATAATCCATATTCAAACTTTTTCTTTTCTATAAATTTCTACAAAATTTTAGGGTATTTTTGATAAGTTTGTTTATAAATTAATAAATTATTGTAAATAATTAGGTCGAGGAGATTTTTTTTGAGATATCAGAGTGGTTTCCAATGTATTATTGTGTCCTGAATAGGATCTCGAGTTACAAAATTGCGTATCACACGTCAGGATTTTAAGTGCTAGAGACTTCTATATAGGCTTACACTAAAGCTTAATTTGTACACTTTAAGACCCATATGGGTAAGATAAAAAAAATTTGGAATTTTGATAAAAATTAGGTTCAAAACACCCAAAAAGTTTATAGGTGTCTTCAACTTAATTTTTTTCAAAATTCCAAATTTTTGTTTATCTTACCCATATGGGTCTTAAAGTGTACAAATTAAGATTTAATTTAAACCTATATAGAAGCCTCTATCACGTCAGGTTAAAGAGAAAAAAAATACTGAAAACCCTCAAAAACACGTTTTTTTGGGTCATTACTCTAGTTTTTTTTTTTAATTTTGTTATCGTGCGCATTTGGGTTTTAAAGTTTACGATTTAAGGTTTAAGGAGAAATCGGACAGACAGTCTGAACAACAGAGACTATAATAAAAGTTAGTCCAAATGCATTATTTCGATTTTTGAAATAGAAAACACATATTTTAGTGTAATTTTTTTCAGACGAAGTGTGCAGAATTATATTTTAAACAAAATGATTCATTGAAAATTGAAATTGGATGAAAATTTAAAAAAAATTGACATTTCGAAACGATTGGCAGTTTGAACTCGAATTATAAAATCGTTTCAAAATGTCAATTTTTTTTAAATTTTCATCCATTTTCAATGATTCATTTTAAAAATATGTGTTTTCAATTTCAAAAATTGAAATAATGCATTTGGACTAACTTTTGTTCAGACTTTCTGTTTGATTCCTCCTTAATTTATTGCACTGTTTCGTGACTTTTAACGTGACTTAATAAAATATCTTTTAAGTGAAAAAAAATCACTTTAAATTAACTTTAGGGAAGATTTGTATTCATTGAAGTGTGTAATGAATGAAAAAATTCTTAAATCCCAAGGAAAATTAGGAGCCAGGATTTCTTACCCAATAAAAAAATTAGGAAGTAGTCCACTCATAAGGACGATTATGTGTCATGGTGGAAAAACGAGTTGTTGCAATTAATTTGAAATAAACCGAACTTATTGTTGTTAAACTTTAATAATATTTAATTAGAAATAATTTATATTTTATTAGTATGACTATAACCACAAAACTGTATTCGTAACACATGATCGAAAAACTATTGAAAACTAAACATGTTGACTCGATGAGGGTTGGATGGCAAGAAAGTGAGTTTGAAAACTAAATTCTTAATTAACACTAAAATTGACACTAGATGACGCAACGATTTTCTTTAATTTAAACCAATCAAAAACATTTGCCTACCTTACTTCTCCCAGAATTCTAAATTACTAATACTACTTAAGTGACTTTTCCAATATCAAGCCCGCGATACTTGAATATTGGAAATATTGGATAGAAAGAAAGAATTTTCATTTATCCGAAATTGCAAATGGCTAAACAAACAATCGACAGAAAGATTTCGGCCATTTGCAATTTCCGACAAATGAAAATTTTATCAATTAGAAATTCTTTTAAATGATTTTTCGGTTAAGTAAAAATTTTCCAATATCAAGCCCGCGATACTTGAATATTGGAACCTGTCATATCGGAAATTCGACAAAGCCTGCCAACCTAAAACTAACTTAAACTAAATTAATGCAAAATTACTTAAAAATGGAGCGCCAGTATTTCAACTGGACTTGTGTCAAGTATAGGAAATTCTCAAATGCGGTAAACATTAAATCGTTATTTATGTCAAAACTCAAAAAGTTTATTTACTATTGGTGCAATTGTGACGTCAATCATGACGTTATATGAAATTGGAATAAAATATCTTTTAAGTGCAAAAAAATCACTTTAAATTAACATTAGGGAAGATTTGTATTCATTGAAGTTGTGTAATGAACGAAAAAAAATTCTTAATTCCAAGGAAAATTAGGAGCCAGGATTTCTTACCCGATAAAAAAAATCAGGAAGTAGTCCACTCATAAGGACGATCATGTGTCTACATTCCCCTATTTGTTTAGAAAATAATTCATTCTATTATAAGAAGACTGCTTTCTGGTTGTATATATAATATATAATTATATGCCAGCGTTTGAATAGGTAGTCGGGATTATTTAATGCGCCTATATATTATACATTTTATTAATACGCCGCATATAAAGACGATATTTTAATGTATACACAATCTGCAGGCATGTATTTATTAATTGGTTTTTAAGTTATCCTTTGAGGGGGGGTGGGGGTTGGTTTAACGATTGTAATATATTTTATCTATGTATATAGGAAGTGTAGTACTTTGGAAGTGAGTCTATTAGAGAGCATATAAAGAAGGTGTCGCGTGTGGCAATCGTCAATTCACCTTGCGGTTTCATACTTGTTTTATTATATCATAGCGGGACAATGCTGCTTGTTGTACTCTGGTGCACACTCTGTAGGCTATGAGGAAATAAGATGCTTTTCGATGATAAGAGAACCACCCATATGAAGAGCCACAATGTCCATGCAAACAGATCATGCAGCTTTGTATATATATATATATATATATATATATATACTGACAATGAGAATAAATGACCATTTGATATATATTGACACTATCGTATCATGTGAAGAATTTACTTGTCAGTTTCGCAAACATTTCTTATGCATATATACTTAATGATTCTATTCTCTGAAAAAAAGAGAATTTACATTAACAGCAAATATTTTTGATATACATTAAGTAAGTCCATTGTATCTATTGAAATTTGTCAGGCCCTCGTCAGTTTTCCTTTAAATTACCATATTTTGTAAGTTTATTTTTATATTAAACTAGGGGGGTCACGTCCCTCTGCGCGTCAACCCTCATTATTTTCTACTTTAATGATTAATTTTTTAAAGGCTTGCGAGTATTAAAATTATTAAAATTTTATCTAAATTTTGAGGTTATGTTTGTTTCTTGGTTAGGGGAATTTGAAGTTATGTTTGTCGGACATAGCCTCAAACCCACGAAATAGTATAAGGAGACACCACTGTCTGGAAAAGATGAAGCCGTTTTCCCCGTGTCTCTTATAATTAACGGAGGTGTCGAACCCTAACGGGGAAATTTGATATCTCCGAAATTTCGTCTGCTAAAAGTGACATGAGCGATGTAAACATGGAGAATCTCCATGGATATAAACATAATATAATTATTTATGTTATGTAAAAACACGGTATCGAGATAAAATTAGTAACTGCAAGTGAATATAAATTATTAAACTGTTTTAAATTTTATTTTAATTATGGTTGTGATAAAAATATACTTTAATAAGATTTATATTTAAAATAAAACTCATCATTATTATTTGGATTTCATTGAAAATAGTTTTGTAAATAGATTTATATTTTGTATTGCCATTAACACAATTTGTTTTACATCCTTTAATAGAACAACTAATCATATTTCCTTATTTTTCTTTAAATTATTTACAAAAACCAAAAAAAAACAAAGCGATATAAAAACAATCAGTTTATGCAGGTTATGTCATGGTAGACATTTTGCGAAAGTTCTATGTGTTAGTAACTGTATGTACACATTTTGTGTCAGTGTGGGTAACTAGTTCCCAACTTTTCCGATAGGTTCGACACCTCCGTTAATTGTAAGAGAAACAGGTAAATCAGCTTCAACTTTTCGTGGGCTTAATATAGCAGTGGAGTCTCCTTATACTACTTCGTGCTCAAACCCAACGGTTTGAACTAATCCTGGAAACCTATGCCATAGAATTTTGAGGTTATGTTTGATCTCTGACCTTGAATCCTAGAATCCTATGCCCTTGAATTTTTAGGTTATGTTTGATCCATGACCTTAAATCTTGGAGACCTTGAATTTTGAGGTTATGTTCGTTTTGAGGTAGATATATGGGTCATTCCACGTCACTTTACCGCTGGGTTTAAGGTTAAAATCAGAACTAAAACACTAATATAGGTATATGTATATGGGTCATTTCATGTCAATAGTAACCAATTTAACCTAACCTATTCTTGTTAAAAACATGGGTTGGTTACATTTGATATGGAATGACCTACACTGGAGACAGTGACGAAATCTTTTTATAATATAGAGAGATAAATTATTGTTTTTACAATTTTTTTTCTAACTTACATTCTACTTAAGATTATTATATATATGTACAGTACATAAAACACAAGATTAATTTTGAAAAATTTCACACGCATTCAGAATCGAACCCAGGATCCTTGGGACGCGAATCGTGTACTATGATCACAGGGCTACGTTAAATTACTGTTTCTTTACCCTGTAAGACTTCTTCTTGAATATTAGGACCGCACTAAATTCTGTTTAAGATAACAAAATAATTATATTATTTCTATTTCAAATTTAAAGAGTATATTCCATCCGAAAGACTAACATTTTAATTTTTAAATATAATATCTTAAATTCTATAGGTCGTATTTAAAATTTTTTTGTATTAAATTAAGTTAATAGTAAACTTTATATTGTTGAAAATTGACGGGGTCAATAAAAAATTTTTACATGCAGACAAAAACGTTTATATATATATGTTTATCATTTATTTAACAATTATTTTTCCTCAATCATAAATAAATTATTTGTTTTCTTCATATTTTTATTTATTTATTTAAGATAAATGCAATAAAGTTTAAGTGGAAAAAATGGCAAATTTTATCAATTTTTATTGATTTACTTTAAACTTCTTTTGTATAAAGGAGACAGAATAAAAAAAATTTATATTTTAACGTTTTAATTTCATTCTAACCAATACTGTAAGTATTGTATAATTGAATATTTTATTATAAATCTGGATTAAATTTTTGTCAAAAAAATTCACTAAGAAGAATATAATTTCATTATTTATACTGTAATATATGATATATTAAATACAAAGCAAAAAATTATAGGTTATGTTTATGATAGTTTGTAATCAAATTATACATAAAGAAGTACAACTCTCAATATAAAAAATTGATTTTTAATTGAATTCAAAATATTTAATTAAAATTTGATTTTTTCAGAAAAGGTTTTTTTTAGTAAATGTAAAATTATCATAAACATAACTTATAATTTTTTTTGCTTCTTTGGTCCCTTTCTTCAAAGTGCGTTACATATTTAATATAATTTTGTTTTTACATATTATAGAGATAATAAAAAAAAAATGTCCAATTTCAAAGAAACTGGTTTATTATTTGTGCTCTTGGCAACAATTCTAATGCTTCTGGTACCTACAATTAATGCACAATGTTTGCGTTTAGGAGCACCATGTATAACTGATGGTAGTATGGGTACTTGTTGTAGAGGAGTATGTTATTCAGAGGGATCAATTTATGGAGTTTGTCAAACATTATAAATAAAGTAAATTATTTAAGAAAACAATATTTTGATTACGTTTATTAAGTTTCCTTTTTAATTTAATATATTCCATATATTTTATTTTCAAATAATACCAAAATTGAAAAAGGAATCTACCATAGTCAAGACTTAAAAAAATATATTCAAAGAGTAGTGCAAAATAATAATTAAATTTTCTTAATAAAAATTTGTAGTAAAAGTGTTAAATGAAATGAAATAATAAAAAAGGTTGGTTTCCATTGTCCCCACTCGCCATTTTGTTATAATTCTCGTCAACTACCGCACCCTGTTCTAGTGAAAATTTAGTAACTCGTGCAGAAATTGTGGCCTGGGCCTTGCATGGCACTATCCAGTTACCCATGTTTCTGGCATGGAAAACTGGTATGTTAAAATTCAAGGTTGTAATGGTTTGGCGAGGATTTGCCCTACTTAGGGCAAAACTTGCCAGGGCCATGAGAGTTTTTCTGACAATTACCCTATACCCTAGTAAAAATTTGTCCTAGCTATAAAAAAGGAACTAGCCAGTCGTGCTTGAATTTCTCAGTTACTTTACTAGCCAGCTCGCTAAAAACTCGAATGTCATGTCACGCTTTTTTCATTAACTTATTATCCAGCACAACTTGATAATTATTGATCAAGTGGACTTTTAAAAAACTAGTCAAATTAATTCTTTTAAGGAAGAACCCCCGACTTTAGAATTCACAGAGAGTTTTTAATGAAAGTTAGCACACTTATAGATATTAGTTTGAAAAAAAATATAGTTAAATTTTTAGAGGTCAGAGGTTGACTCTGACAAAAGTTATAAGCAATTTTATTTTTTCACATTTTACATGGTGTCTTATGAGAAAACGCATTTTCATGATCTTTGAAATTTAATTGTGACATATATAACAGAGAGATATTAATAAAACTTTTTACAGTTAAAGTTAAACAACCAATGATTAGATAATTTAAAAAAAATGATCATACCTTACCTGTGAGACCCAAAATTAATTATTCTTTATAAAAAAACACCCTTTTTTATTAATCAGCAGTTACTAAGCACAACGCTTGGCAACGTTGCTTCTTAAAGGTTAGGGTAAGCAAGAAGCGCGAAATTTGAAATTTTGAAAGTAACATAGATCGTATCTAATACTATATATCATATTTTTAATAACAATTTTTGTCAAAAATAATTTAATTACCTTTCTTATTTATAAATTTAATATAATAATACAAGTACAATAGAATTTTCAATACAAAATTTTGAGAAAAAGTTTACTTTTATCAATAACAATTTTTTTTAATAATAAAATCATTAAAAATTTTAAAGCATGTCTAAAATTAATTAGTAATTAATTAGTAATTTTTTTATACATTAATACTAATATTAATATTAATATTAGTATATTATATATATAGTATATATATATTAGTATTAATATTAATACTAATATTAATATTAATAATAATACATTAATACATTAAAACGGGGGAGAAACAAATACAGTGCTGCCAAGCGTTGCATTAGCACTACGTGATTCAAATAAAAACTTAAATGGACATTGATTTGACTCACAATGCAGAAGGGGTACCTCCTTAAATATTTCAAAATTCATTTAATAAAAATTACTAATTTTTTAAATTTATTATCCTCAAAAATTATATGTAAAATTTTATAAATAAAATAATTTTAATGAATTAATAATTATTGATATAATATAATATTATTAATATACTAGCGCCTCAGACGGACTTTGGCCGTCTCTGTTGCTTCTATTCTTTGTCCATTCAATTTAATTTTCAATTTATGTTTCATAATTTATTACAATTATTTTATTAAATATTTCAAAATATTGTAAACAAAAAGCAAAAAGGCATGTAATTATAGAGATTTTAAACAGAAAAATAATAATCTATTATATTTGTAAAATTTGTCTGAAAATAATAATAATTGTTGAATAATTTTTTTTTAAACTAAAAACACTTTTTTATTCAAGGTAATATTATTATCATAATAATTTAATTTATTACAATTATTTTATTATTATTTAATAAATTTCATTATTTTAAAAAAGCGCGCGCTATTTTGTTTTGGGCCAATAAAGGCACTCTTCACAACTTTTTGGCTGCCTGCAGATTACCATGGCAACGCATGAGAGTGAGTGCGACAGAAAATTTAAAAATTTGAATATTTAAATTTTCTGTCTTACTCACACTCGTGCATTGTTAAGGTAACCTGCAGGCAGGCAAGCAGCCAAAAAGGTGTGAGAGTGTCTTTAGGTGATTTCAACTAAATGTAGGTTATTTTCGTTTCTGATTCATGACAGCTGCAAACATTTACAACAAATAATGCTTTGCAAGTGTATATTTATTGCAATTAAATAAGTTATGCAAAAAATATATATGTGGAACAATAATTTTTGGGGCATGCCAAACTTGTGCAAAAACTGGCAAGGGCCTTGTCAGAGCCTTAATTTAAATATGGCTAAATAGGGCAATTTCTGCACGGGAACTTTTCATTTTAACAATTAAATTTTAACTGAATTTTTACTAGAGCAGGGTGCGGTAGTTAACGAGAATAATTTTTTTTTGTTCTTTATGGTACTTTTGCTCACATAACCTGAAAATTGCAAATTGAATTAAAAATCGCTTCTCTGACGTTTGTTCAAAATTTAATGCAGAGTATTTACATTTTTTTTTTAATCCGTTAAGAATTATGAGCTGTAGACGTATTTGTTTAATTATTGTTTAATTATTCATTATTTTATTCTGCTACTAGATGCGCGCGCATCTAGACTTAACCCTATTTTTATCCTTAGTCAAGTCTGTGAACCTGTATTATAAATTTTTATATTAAAAAAAATTGTTTTAAAAATAAATTTTTACATTAACCATAAATGCCCGAGTAAAAATTATTATCAAAATTTTATAAAAAAGATTTTAAACATTAACAAAATAAAAAATTGTTTTTACCATATGCCCATAAGAATGTTGTACTTAACTGACATTGAATCACGCGAGAGTGAAAGAGAGATAGGAATTAATGTGTCTTTCTTGCTTTGATGTGAGATATAGCCAACGATGGCTGATGGCGAACGTCTGAAAGAGCTTTTATTGCAATTATATTGTAGCTGATAGTAACAACCTTAATGTTGATGATGGCATTTGTTACTTTTGGCTTGTCCTCGTAATGGACGTGTACGTCAAAACAATTTTTTTTTCCTTTTTCTACCATAAAAGTCTACGCAATTATTGTTGAGAAATATCATACAACTAAAAAATAATGTTACACTCATATTATACTTTAAAGCGAAATAGTATGAGCCTTTTAATGTGTTTACACTTTGATATTTATATTCTGTAATCAAAAAATATAAATTCTTTCTGTTTTCATGAAAATATATAATATTTGCGTTCAACAAACAAATAATTACTTCAAAAAATATTAAATAAAATAATTGTTTTTAATCAACCATGGAGTAGTATAAGGAGACTGAACGAAGTATATAAACAGTGGGAAAAATTGGAAGTACGTTGAACATAACCCAAAAATACATTGCTTCTTATTTTTAAAACTATTAAGGTGCTTTTATACCTCCAGTATTTTGGTCAAGCAATCGACTGGGTTGAATTTTCATGAAGAATCACTGAATTTTATTGGCTCTAACAAATATTCCATTTTCACCGTGAAAATTGAATATTGTTAGAGCCAATAAAATTCAGTGATTCTTCATGAAAATTCAACCCAGTCGATTGTTTGACCAAAATACTGGAGGTATAAAAACACCTTTACAATGCCTGACTGTGCAGTTGAGTTTGACACAATCAGTGGCGCTAGTGTTCCATTCCGTATTGTTTTTTTTAGATTTAGCGGGTACCGAAAAGTTGTCCACTTTTAACAAACGCATAGCTCTTAAGAAAACTTTAATTCTCAAAGTTGATTTACACAAATTAACGAAATTAAATAATAAAATTTTTAGGTTAGGCATCTTGTTGACGTTAGGTTAGTGCAAGAATTTTTAGGTTAGGAATCGTGTTGCATTAGTGCCAATCAGATAACGTAAAAGTAGCTGAGCGCAAAAGGCGCTTAATTTAAAAATTGATAAAATAAAGTTAATTCATTTTGATGCAGATCTCATAATGAGGTGCAGCAAAAATGAGTTTAGATTTTTTCTGTGTTATATTATGAACATAACCTTAAAATTTTTGTTGTATAATACTTTTAAATTATTATGCTTTCTGTATCTACTTTATTTATTTTTATTTATTTCTTTGAAATTAATTAATAATTTGCATTATTAGTGAATTATTCTAGTTTTTGCAAAAGTTTATTTGCAAAGTAAAAATGAAAAAAAAAATTGAAATAAATTATAGTCTTAAGCTGATAATCGTAAAGTTGTGATATAAGTAAATAAAATCAAATCAGATAATTGAGTTTTACACTTATGCTCAATATTCTACACTTGTAATTTACATTCAATCGGAAAAAGTTATACATATAAATTTAACTGTTAGATCAAAGTTGTAAATCAACTTGTTTTGTAAAAAGAGCTTTATCAGGCACGAGACGACCTTGAAAGAAGAGAAAAATGAAAGAAAAGTAATAACGATTCTGAGCGATTAAATCAACTCAGTAGCTATATCGAAGTGGCTATTTAGAGGCAGCTGGGCATTTATCGCTTTTAAGAGAGATGCAGTTAAAGTATAACTTGCATATATAGTTGTGCGTATTATGGCAATCGCTAGCATCTTGACTTGAGATATAATAATAATAATCTCTCTCTCTCTCTCTCTAAGCCACATTGGTGCTAGAAACTTGAAGTTTCCGTACTGTTCATATTAATAACCTTAAAGGTGCAAGAATTCTAACTTCTATATATATAATTCATTAACTCCTATTTGTAATGGGTATTTACATTTTTTAAATATACACATAACCTATTGATAAATGCATTGACTCGTTTGAAAAAAAAAATTTTTTTTACTGTTATAGGTCATAATTAACATTCTTATTTTATTGATATGGGAATATATGTTAAATA